TTACTTCTAATTATTGGGTATTGCAAGCTAAGCGTCCAGTGAACTCGAAAACTCAATCTTTTACTGCCGAGTGAGGGGGCATATAATGCAGGTGAAACGGGGGAAAAGCAGAAATATCTCCAATCAAAAAAAGAAAGTTACGCCTCCTGTGTTCTAGACAAAAATGATCTTTGAGGAGAAGAACATTGCTTTGAAATTCCAAGACTGCTCGAGGTCAGTGGTACACTGGGAGGACAAGCTGCTGGGGTAAGTTCTGTAGGAGCCCTGCTCGATGTACATATGCTGCAGTGAGCACTGGACATTTGTTCTGCTGCGGTATATGGCTCCCACACTCTCTTATCCTTTACTCTAGATTGTTCGCGATTATCAGTAGAAACTGGCACCAATCGTGATTCACTGAAGTAAATCGCTTTGCTTTGTTTTATCACGTCAGGCGCCAGTAGTGTGCGCCAGACAAACTGGTAAAATATTCCTGACGGCGATTGCAACTCTAGAATTACAGTTTTTTTTGTCCATTCACATGGAAGAGAATTGAGGGAACTTTTTTGCACTTCTGCGAAAGTCATATAACACAGAATAGAACACGAAATCTCCGCTATGAAAAGTGATATAGACATTAACAATATGTGAACATGCGAAAGCCGAACATGTGAATGAGAGAATAAAACACTGCATCATTCTATCTAAAAACTGCCACTTAAATGAAATTAGTGAATAAAACAATGAGCTGTAGAATCTGTGAAAAAGAAAAACATTGATCTGTTATGACGGAAATACGAGCTTTGAAAAGTTGCCTCAAAAAAGTAAAGCTAAAAAATTTTCCTCGAAGACAAACTGTGCACTCATCTCTAAGGACGGTCCTTGCCATGTGTGAGGTTAGCGGGTCCGCACATGCAAAAGTGCGCCACTTTCTCCGCTCAGACTTGCATGCAAATCAAGCTGGAGGGAGTTGATACCCGAATACTGTCTTCACAATCCGCCCGCGTTATTTGCATTGTCAGCACTTCCGTCGATACCAAGACCTCGCAGCAAAACACGGTTCAGTTTTAGAGAGCAGCCAGAAATGAGAAGTACGGACAAGTAGCACACTTGTCTATATTTAGACGTCTGAGTGGCCGTGCGACAGCATGGGCAGAGTATGGAGATGGTACCCGGGTAACACAATGCTCCAACTCTATTCCCGCACATTTTTGTGACGCGATACTGCAACTGTGGACCGGTTCACTTCACAAATGGGAGGATCAGGATGAACAGAGGTGAGCGTACAGTTTGTTTTGTCCACTAAACAGAAGACAGATATGCAGAACCAAGAAAGTTGAACTTATTCGCCCTTTCCCAAGTCATTTGTGGCATTTCTGCGATGTTTTTTTTTACATTGCTACCCCTGCATCGATCATATCTTCTCATCTAGACTATCGTTGTCATTTTCTTCTTCCATTTCACCTTCCAAGGGGTTTCTGTATAGATGAAGAGAGCTTTCACATTGCTGCGCAGCTTCCGCTACTGTTTGCTTTCCGACCGGTACCGGCTCAGACATCGAGAGCAAATCCGTATTTTCTCCTTAACTAATTAAAGTTACCAGTGGTAATTAACAACGAGCACACTCATTTCCTACTTATACAGAAGCGCTAGCCACAAGAGTTCCACACGGATTATATACATGTACATAGGTACTAGTAATATAGAAGCAAAGAAGAACGCCGCGGATCACTCCCTTTTGGTACCCGCTTTACCAATGCAATTATGACTTTTAGAGACCACTGTTTTCCGTGCCTGACTAGGAAAAGTGGATAGGTCAGTCCGGAAATTCGCAACGAAGCGATTGCCGGTGAAGGCAGCTCTAGGCGCTCCGCTGAAACCTGCTCTTGGTATTCGTGGAACGATTCTGTGAAGGAAGTTATGAAGATTTCTTCCTTATTAAGGAAATTCTTCACTTTTCCTGGACATCACAAGTGAAAATTACAAATTATCAGTTATAGATGGTAAGTGGCCCAGCGGAGGGTACGCTGGCTAATCGACTCCTTTATGCGCTTTGATTTCTTTTTTCGAGACTTCCAGGATTACTACAGAAGCTAGTTCTGCTCAGTTGTTTCCCCTATTTACGGCTGTTGTCTTTTCAATGTTGACTTTTTGTTATAGTATACTATCCCTACAATCCTGTTATTAGGTTGTCCGGAAAGTTTTCAGCGTTTTGAGTGTTTCACTCCAAACGATCATAACTTTCTTAATACTCATCGAATATCGAAATAGGCACCGTTCGAATCAGTACTTTTGCCAATGTGACAGCATTCGATAAATCCCGTCACAAAAAAACTGGGTGGTAGAGAATCTACGAAGTCCATGTAGGCCTTTTTTACCTGGTCCTGATTGATGAAGCATTTTCCAGCAAAGAAGTTCTGAAAACGTATGAAAAGGTGATAGTCGGTCGGGGAAAGGTCTGGAGGATGGCGGGTGAGGTAGGACTTCAACCTCCAATTCGTTCAATTTTTGGATAGTGACTTGTAAGACGTGTAGGCGGGCGTTGTCATGCAAAGGTCGGACCCTTTCTTTTGATAAGTGTTGGCTGCACCTGACAAAATTTTCGGTACAATTCGTCGATTTCTTCACAGTAGGGTTCTGCTGTGATGGTTTGGCCTGGTGACAAAAATTTATAGTGGATCACACCAGCCCGATGACCACCACACTGTGACCATAACCTTTTTTTTGGTGAAGATTCGGCTCCGGAAATTGCCTCGGTGGTTCGTCGGCGTCCAACTACTGTCCGGAACGTCTCCTGTTATCATACATGATCTACCTTTCATCACAGGTAACAATTCGGTCCAAAAAGGGTCGTTTCTGTTGCGCAAAGCAGTGAAGAGGAAATCTCGAGACGTGCCAAATTCTGCCGGTTACTCAAATTGTGGGGCAACCACTTATCGAGTTTTTTCACCTTCCCAATGCGTTTCAGACCATCTGCAACACTGGATTTGCCAACGCCTAGCTTTTCTGCAATCTCTCGAACTGTGGATGGGTCAGCCTCCACAAACAAATCCTCGTCAGGTATTGCCTTAGGTCGACCGTGCGAGGTTCAGCTTCAAGGCTGAAATCGAACGAAATTTGTCGAACCATTGCCGCGCGGTGCTTTCTCTAGCACTATTGGGCCCCCACACCTGGTTAATTTGCTGAGCTGTCTCGATTGCGGATTGACCCAATTTATAGTCAAAGAAAAAAATCGCCCAAAGTTGCTCTTTTGACATGCTTCAAAAAGTCAGGAGAAAAGGGGGTTTATCAAGCAATGGTACGGCGACTGTACCATCAGATAGCGCAAAGAATTCTCTTCGGGATAATACTACTGAGACGCAAGGGAGAATGAGTTTTTAATCAGCAATGAATGTACAAAAAATGGTCACGAAACGCTGAGAACTTTCCGGACAACCTAATAGGAACATGGCATTAGCAGGCATAAACAAGTGAAAAATATCATTCTGTGACAATATGAGCAGGATATATTGTTGGGTTAACCTCCATAAATCTTTCACCCATATTGAGGAACCAAGCAAAAGTGCAAGAAAAGATTTCAGCAGCACGGTATTTTCAACAATAGGTTTTGAATGTGTAATAACAATGTGAAACCTCAAAAATTTATTTCTCAAATTTTCAAGCCCAAATATCTCGGCAGAATTTTGCCGGGATATTTGTTACTGACGAAGGTGCTACGCATCGAAATATCGCAAGATAAGATATATTTTACAAAACTAATGAGACTTTTGCTGTCTTTTGAGTTTTTTGGAATAAATTTTTGGAGTATCACATTGTTATTATCCATTCAAATAAGAAATGAAATTCCGGGTCAGCACCATACTCCAATAGGGCTTTTTGTTTCTTACCAAGTTATTTTATGATTAATACTTGTTGTTAGTATGTATATACTTGTTTAATGATTCATGTGTCCTACCCTCCGGTGACGGTGAATTGTTACCAGATTGTGGGTGTATAGGAACACTGACTTGCACATCGGCCGGCCCCGCATGTCATTGTGTACACATCACATTCAATAAGCCACTACGATTCTAAATGGAAGTAGTATGCATGTCGCATCCCACAAAGGGGTTGGTCAACGACGAAGACTTTATCTTTTGGCTTTTTGATACTTATTTGCTGATGATAATAATAATGATAATAATAATAACAATAATAATAATAATCCTTTTTACCTATGATAGTAATAGTCAGAGGAAAGATGTAAATTCATCAATTTGAAAGGTGTTTCACTTATTGTTTGTTATTGTTTTTGTTTTTTCTTTCTCATCAAGTAATTTCTTGATGTGATATAAATGTTTTTGAATTGTCTTTGTCTACTATTCTGGTAATAAATTTAGGTTTTGATATACAATTAAAATTTGATTCTGGTTGTTACTCAAAATTTTGTGCTACCACTTTTTTGTATGTTCATTATACAGAAAATTTCATACTTTTTGTGTTTTTTTGATTTTTTATATGCCGAGAAATACCTTTCAGTCCAACAAAATGTTTTATAATGAAGGTTTCTGTGTATTTTTCACATTCTTACCATGCTCATGTGAAGCATCCACTCTAGCTAAGATGTTGTTGGCTGGATTCCTGGTTTGACTCTCGATAGACCTTGGCATTGTTCTGACGCAAGACTGCTTCTTCTTGAACTGCTCTCGATGTTGGAAATGACCTTTATCAGGTGGCTAACGTTTGCTTGAGGATCTAGTGGATCTGGTTAGGTACGGTAATTTCGTCTCCCCATTGTTTACGTGTTGGTTACGGTGGAGTCGGAGTTCTCTGTGAGTTGAAGTGACATCTGGTCGGGTCGTTCACAAATTGATTTCCATCCTTTCAGGCTCCTAAGAAAGTAGACTCACCGAGCACCTAATAAAGGTCATTTTTAATCTCGAGTGCAGTTTAAGAAGTAACAGCCGTTGATCACAACAATGCCGAGCTTTATCAATAGTTAAACTTGACGTCTACTTTGCAATGTGCCAACTCAGCACCACCTACGCGTTAGGAAGGTCATGTCTCTGAGACAAAAAACTGTCTCAGCGCATTAATGCATCCACTTCCATCCAGCCAAACCATCCCCAACAAAAGCTTTAAAATCTGACAGCATCCCTGCCTCTTGCACGTGCTCACGTCAAACTTCCACCCTGCAACACGTGCAATGGCTCGGAAGACACCAAATGGTGGTCTTAGATAGTGGACCGCGTTACCACATTCAAAACAATATCTCGAATTGATAATACAACATGGAATGGATCGGAACTCTAGCGGTTGACCCTTCATCTTTTGCATCGCTTTCACTGATGAATTTATGCAGTTGTTTACACCGATGGTGTGTTCCTGCAGTAGTTTACACCGCTGGTGTTCCCCCACATCATACGCCACCCCACTAAGCTGTCCCTACTAACCCCTCAGCACTAGTATAAGACCTAAACATTCCTTCTTCTGTCAGGTTCCATTTCCGCTGTTAGATGACGCCTTAGGCGAAGAACAGTGTTGTTGTAAGCATAGAATCGGTTCTGCTTTCGTGCTGGTGTAACAAAATGAGACACCCAAACCACATTTTCTTTACCATCTTCATTTTTTGGGAATGACTCGCCTTAGTTGTGCAGGAATGAGCAGCAGAAATGTTGGTTTTGCTTAGAAGCTCGACAATTTCTCTACGGCCATACTCGACGCTTGATTTTCCCGTGCTTCTCGTGGGCACGATGAACTTATGAGGGCTTTTAGGGGCGTAACTTCTTAAGTTCTTCCTTCTTGGAACTGTCGCCACTATTCTTCACGTTCGCTCCGAGAACTACTCGCGCAACTATTAATCTGACTCAGGATTAAGTTGCTGCGCTTTCACGATGTATGACACCTTATTCGGTAATCCAGCCTTGGTTTTGACCACTGGTTTTCCTATCAATTTCTTAAAGTTTTCTCCTGTGGAAATGTCCCAGTTCGACGAGCAGTTAAATTTGCTAGCTTCCTAACGATCCAGAAGTCCGGAGCCCTAGCTTCTTTGCCTTTCTGCCACTCACCTGGACCTCTCCCTTCTTCGGAAGAGATGGGCAAAAAAAGTAGATAAATAACCAGATAAAAACACTTCAATTTCACGTAAAAGATGGCTGCGAAGGCAAAGCATAAGATGAAGCTCAGGACGTAGATTTTGAAACAAACTTTTCGGAACCAACCGTTGTCTTCTTCAAATTTGCCCCCTCTTCTTATGAATTTCTCTGATGGACCATTGTAACTTTTCGTGCCTTTGCACATTGGCTGGAGGAATGAATGCACATCTAGAGCAGGAAATTGATTCGAGGAATTCATTTTCTCTTCAAAACGTTGAAATTGCTGGCGCACCACATCCTGAGGACTGATGAAGGCCTCGAGCCATGAGGAGCAACTGCCGCTGCACAGAGAGCTCTCTCAGATGTCGCTGACTTTGCCGCACACTGACGTATCCGTCCAACTGTTCTCTAGAAAAAATAAATATTTTATTCATTGATGTTCCCAACGAAACAAAGTATTAGAAGATGAGAAAAAGAAGAGGAAAGACTGGATCTCCCAACTTTGTAGTCTTGTAGTCTCTCCATTGTTGGCCCTCCCTTCTTCCAAAAAATATAAAGCTCAAGATAAGAACGAGCAAGACGCATAACACCGCAATTAGTGGGAAAACCAGGACGCTTTCCCAGAATGTGTATTCTTCCGATGTCGTTCCTATTTCAGAATTTTGCTGAAACCGAGAAAATGGAACCTGTAAACACAACGTAAATTTTTTTGGAAAGTTCTGTTAAGCTCATAAGCACCTGTTTGCGCATGGTGATTTCCTCGACGTTGAGTGCAACTGATTTCATTCCCTTAAGTCCGTACTGTGACTTTAGTCCAAGCTGTGAAGTCACATTTCTCTGAAAAAATTACTATTAACTGCTCTCCTCAACTGGCATAGAATGAGGAAAATTTCGAGTGCCAAAAACGTCAAACGTACAATTCTTATGCGACACCAGTCAATTTGGAACGTAGGGTAGAAATATTTATTCAGTACTACCATTAGCCGTTTGCTACAGAATGTGGGATTCAGCTGCAAATGATGAACCAGTTTGTACACATTTATATGAAAAGCTCGTTGCGTTCCCACAGATACCAAAGACCTAGAATCAGCACGAAATTAGTCCGAAAATGTCAATAAACGCTCTGACCTCATCTCAAAGTTAAAGTGGGGGAAACTGCATGTTGTGGTGCTGGACGACGGGAGGTTAATTCTTTTATTGGCGTGTGTATGCGAAGACAGATAGTAACACAAGAATAACCGACCTCAGTCTAGGTACCGTTTTTATCGAATCTACAACCGTATGGTAAGTAACAAATAACTTTTAGATAATAGCTTTTGTGTAAGCGGCTGCAGCCCTACAACACCTCGCCTCTTATTTACGAAACATATTCTCTTCTTCGGGTCCACTGTGAGTCGACGCAGCGGATGGCGGTGGCGAAAAGTGTGCTGAAGTTGTGAGATCGTAGACAGTGTTGAGCATAGTGTCGATTTGTTGTCTGGGGTCGAGATGTCGGAAATTGGTATCGTTCCTTCATTCTGCGTCGTTTGTTCGGCGGCAGCCGTAGTTTCTTCATTCGGGGTAATGATGAAAATGTTCAGAGGTTTCTCGATTGCCGGAGTGTTATTGCGTGGTTCAAGCTGGTTCACATTCCTTAGCGAATTTCCACAGCACACATAACAAGTGACGTTTCTGGGACATGTTCTACAATACTCTCAATGTTCTCAATGTTCTTGTCGGTACGAGGTCGACAGTTTGGCGACCCAGAAAGTTTTCTGCAGGTGACAGCTGGTTCGGTCTGGCAGGGCAAGGTGTTGTGCGCTAAGCCATCAAAAAAGCTTGGAGTGCTTCCGGTGCTGGTTCCTCCCTCTTCCTTTTGATATCCTCTTTTGAAAGTATCTAAAAAGCGTTCTGCATGCCAATTCCTCTGTAGATGAAAAAGGGGGAGCTGATCTCCTTACCTTGACTCGTGAGCGACGACGCGGATATGGCGTTGCAACTAACGGTTGCTGTGAGGGTATGGAAGAGCGGTTGGACTTGCGTAATCCAGTCGAGTCCCAGTAACGAAGCAGTACCGGCCACATGACAGCTTCGTTTCCCTTCGTGACCTTCAATTGAAGAGCTGCATCTCAAGTGATCACGAGCCTCACTGTCCTTATTGTTGGCTGATTTCCAAGGATGAGAGCGGTGGGAGAATCTTGGGACTCCCTTCAACTCAGCTCCTCCTTGTTGAACTTTCGACAGAACTCTCTCTCTCATGCCCCATGGTGTTGTGGTGTTGCAGGTGTGACAAAGACAAGATTATAAGTTCAGATTGTCAGGCTGCATACGGTACCCACGATTTGCTCGCCAAGTGAAAAACATCCTTGTGTAGGTGCACCAACACACTACATTACACGTCAAACTCATTATTTCTTCGATAAACTTGTTTTCTGAGTGCACTGTTTTAAGATGGTCACGTGTTTCGGCACTATTATTATATTATTAGGGTGTCACAAAGCTCGTTGGCCATTTGTAAACAGCGTCGCGTTACGCAACGCGTTGTGATTTTGCATAATGGTTTCGCAATACTGAAAGTACTCGCGATGGGCTATCTTCTGAGCTAGCTAGCTCTAAATTTCCTTTCCTGATCTTTCCACAATAAAGCAGTGAAGATGGGTGATAGTTGCTGGACTACTACAATCTGGACATCTCCAGACGTCAGGCCACGACCAGGATGCGTCAGCAGTTGTGGTGATAAACACCCTTCTAAGAACTGGATGTCAAAATGGGGGACTCGCTTCACCAATGGAACTATGGCATCGAAGATATGCCGAGGTTTCTGGTTCTCCTCGTCACGGCGTCGTCCACTATAGCACCCTACCCAACAATGGGTCAGTAGAAAATTGGTACGCTTGACCTCGTTAATGACTTGTCTCGCACCTAAGATTCGAGGCATAATTAGCGAGGTGCGAAGTGACCTCATTAAGCCGAGGCACGTTAGCCGAGGCGGCACGAGCTTCCAAAATCGGCAGAAATTGAGTGAATCACAACAGATCAAGGTTAAGACTTACGAAAAAAGAAAAAAAAGATTAAGGTGAAGGCTTACGAAAAAGTAGTACGATAAGGTAGCGCTACCTGTCAAACTGAATAGAATGGTATAATGCGTAGCTTTTAACTAACCAATATTCAAGTAATCGATAGAAAAAAAATGTAAATCCGATCATTCAAGAGTTCATGACGAGAAGCTTCAAGAAGGTTTTGTGGAAACCCTACGCTTACGAAGTGCATTCTTGCAATATAGCTGAATCTCATTGCCTGTCTTCGGCGGGTTAGTTCAGGTAATGCCCCTCTGGCCTTCTATATTGGCCCGGTAATGACTTCTCTATCACTTTGAGACGCCTCTGACCAAACAAAACTCAACGAGAGTCATGAACAGATACTTAAGCTAACAGGTAGAAAGCAAACCCGCGAGTTGTTTGTTTGAGCAAGTCTTTGTGTTGCCATGTATTTAAGTACTAATCCAGCATTACTATTTTCTGCTGATTAGTGCTCTTATGTAGATGCAGCCGTTCCGTTTTCAGGGTTTCCTCAGACGTCGTCTCCCCCAACTTTGTATCTCTAGCAACCGCCACACCATTTTTATCGGTACCAGCACCATCGTATGACGTAGGGATTGCATCACCATGCACATTTCCTCCCGCACTAGCACGTTCTCATTTCGTCGGTCAGGAACCAGCATACTGCGTTACCCCTGTACCAGCAACTTCTTAACACCGTGAGCCCTCCTCCCCATACACTTTTCCCTCAGGCAGCTGGACGGTACTGCGTCGGTCAGGACGCAATTTCAATATTACACCAGCACTAATAAATAGCTGGAATATATAGCAACCTTTTTACCCACTTCACCGAAAATTTTCAATGATTCGTGCCTGGATTAGCTCAATACTTCTCCTCTTACCGCCAGCCGAGGTTAGCGGCGACGTGCCTCGGCTTAATGATGTCGCTTCGCACCTCTCTAAATTATGCCTCGAATATAGGTGCGAGACAAGTCCATTAACGAGGTCGAGCGTAACCAATTTCCACCTACCCCCCAACAATGCCACAGAGACGGCAGAGACCCTCTCTAAAGAATTACAGGAGGTCAAGGTGAAAGCTGGCCGCCTTGCCCCAGAAACTTGCAAATCCGTGGTTGTTCTGGGACAACGCGCGCACCACAAAGCGAGAGATACTCAGCCGTCCTGGACAGGCTGGGCATCAAGTCGTTCACGCATCCACCATATAGCCCGGACATCAGTCTATGCGATTACACATCTTCCGGTCCATGCGAAACTTCCTGGACGGAAAACAGCTGAAGAACGAGCGCGACCTCGAGGACGTGAGCGAGGACTTGGGCGAGTCGCGCTGGCGGCTTCTGAGAGGATGGAGTTGCCCTCTCTACCGATCGTTGGCGAAAGGTGGTGGGTATGCATGGAGATTATATCATGGACGGTATAGTTCCAACTTGGTAAGTTTATCTTCATAAGCTCTGCAAAAAACGAATGGCCAACGAACTTTGTGGACACCCTAATATCACCATTGTAGCTATTATTATTATTATTGAGTATTGCTANACCAATCTTCCGGAAATAAGTTTTGGGTCAGTTTTTTGAACTTTGTGTGAAGCTGCCTGGCGCCCGCGCCAGGATACCTAGGATCACCATGTCCGCTGAAAACTTGTGCCCAGGGGTAGTTTGGCGCAAAAAAGATCCGCCGCGATTGTATTTGAAACGGCGCACAGATGGTTACTGTCATATTCAAAGAGGGAAGCAGACGGGCTTCGAACGGGAGGGTGAAGAGAGCTGGTTAGGTGATTGTCTTGTGAACTTGTTGTGAGGAAAAGCTGAGGGTTTAGTTTTTACATCTGATAGGTAGCAATAGCAGCCCGCGCCACAGGCACCGTGTCAAGACACCCTAGATCACTAATCCGCTGAAAACTTGTACAGGGGAATTAGAATTCCCATATACGAAACAACTAGAGGGCACTACGATTATCTTCTGCTAGGGCTGAGTTGCCCTAAAGAGAATCACTCCTGCCAGGCACAGCCTTATCAGGGCGCTAAATGGCACTGACGCTTAGCAAAGCGCTACATGGCGCTGGTGGCGCAAACGAATGACAGTGATCATCATCGAAGGTTATCGAACCTTATGGGAAAAGTTTCACCACAACATTTTTTCCCTTTCTGGAAAAGTAATACTGAGCAGCGCCTGTGTTTCTTCCGAAACATGAGAAACTTTAAATGCATCACATATTTATTAGCTTTACGATTGTTACAAGGTTTTTATTATTCACGTACACTTCTTCCTAACATCAAATCTGCAATACAGGCGCCAATTTTTCCACAAATCACTGCTTCATAGTGCGGACCGTCATGAAAGTCCTATTGGAGTCTCGCTGAGAATGCGTCCGACGACGGAAAGTTCGTCATAGGAGGTCGAAAAACCACCGGGCAAAAGTTGCGCGGACGTCAGGCAGTTTCAGGTCGAGTGGATGAGATATTCGTGTTTAGGAAGTCAAACTACCCTTAGGCACAAGTTTTCAGCGGATTTGGTGATCCTAGCTGACCTGGCGCCAGCGTCGTGGCGCAGGCGCCAAGCAACTTCACGCGAAGTCGATGTGACTCCTGTATTCAGGAGGTCGAACTACCCCTAGAACCGAGTTTTCAGCCAAATCTGAACCCATATAAAAAGCTGGTCAAAAACTGGCCTATTCTCGGAGGATCGGTGTAGCAATAGTCAATAATAGTAATGACAATAATGATAATATAATAACAGTGCCGAAACACATGATCATCTGAAAAAAAATTAATAGGTGTCCTCAGAAAACAGGTTTCGCAAAGAAATAATGAGTTTGGCGTGTAATGTAGTGTGTTGGCGCACCCACACATGGATGTTTTTCACTTGACGCGCAAATCTCGGGGGTAATGTACGCAGCCTGACAACCTGAACTTATAATCTTGTGTGACAATCTTTCTTTATGAAGTCGCATTCTTTTGCCCAGTGACGTTCTCCACTGCGGAAGCATGGCAAAGGCGTTTATTTCATCTGACGTTTCCTGGTATTTCACCGCATTGACCTCATATAGTAAGGCATTGCAGAAAATGTGGTGCCTGGAAGTTTGGGCTTGTCTGAAATCCAGAAATTGCTGAATCCCCATGCTGACTTCTTTGAATGTACCTTCCGGGTGACTCTCTAGCTTGCGAAATGCGTGAGTGTGGATACCGGTGTACTGGTGCATACGGCTACAGATCCAAGCGAGGCATTTCATTTGTCGGCGTGATGGTGGTATGATATTGTGAATTCGGCCATCTCATCAATCCTGTCTGCTCACCAATCCTGTGTAGTTGCGGAGACTTTCGCCGTTGCAGTGAGTCCTCAGAGTCCCGTTGCACTGAGTCCGCCGCACCAGCCTTAGCGACGGGCGGAAACAATCAGTATCGTGTTCGAAACACTGTGTCCGTAAATAAATCAATCAATCGTGTCCGAAATTTTTGTTCGAAGAAATCCTGCAATTTCTGCAAAGTTTCTGCGAGAGATATTCCAGCAACCTCTCTCGGTAGAATATGGTCCGTGAAACGAGCCTAGGCAGTCGCATCCAGGTTTGAGATAATGAGCTGTGCTCTAGCTGCGTCGTCGAGGGTGGCTCCGTCGTGTTGCTTATCGTGCTTGAACTCTGGCAGCTGTAACAAAACGAGTCTGTGACGAACTCGGTTAAGTGTGTAGGCTGTTGTTGTACTGGAAAGTACGGACGAAAATATAAGGTTGGAAAGAAAGCCTTGTCACTGTTGTAACTTTTTTCTTTTTTTATTTTATAACTCAACATACAATGGAAATTAACCAACAATATACCCGTCATTGTTTTAGGCATCGTGATGCGTTCGGAATGGAAGTCGAGTACATGGCGCATTCCATGGAGGTGTTGAACAGCAAACTCTGCTGGAATTCCTATTCACTACATGATGAAGAGGAGTACGAGAGGCCTGCCTCCCGAGCTTACTTGATGAAAATGTGGGCTTCGTATGTGGGTAGATCCTCATGCTGCGGCCGAAGCTCACTTCCAAATGAAAATGGGCGACGGGCGAATTTTCGCTATAATTAAGCTACAGCAAAAATGTTGTACTTAGTAGAAAGAGATAACCTTCAACTTCTCAACGCCAAGTAAGGTCTGCCACAAGTTGAGAATTGGCGAGTTATTGTCTTCAAAATTTAAAAATATCGCGCTCCAAAAATTCTCCGCGTTATTTCTATGCTTTTTCGCTGGGTGAAGTTTCGCTGTAATTGAGCTACAGCAAAGTTGTTTGCTCATTTGGAGGACAAACTCTTCGAGTTCCCAGTGGCGGGTAGAGCTCCATTCTTGATGCGCGACGCGGCCGCAGTGCCTCCAATGTCTCTGTTTTGTGTCGTTTTGTTTTGACGGGATCGCTTTGAGGTTTTTTCGAAATTTTACTTTGTGCATTACCTTGCTTTTTGGAAACTAATCTCTTCAGTTCTCACTGCTTTTGCTCGATTGGCTTGAAATGCTCCTGGTACTCTGATACTTATTCGGTGAAATTCGCGTAACACACAACATATACAGCTACATCCTGATACCTCTACACATTCCGCATTCACTGAGGAGAGGGGAAAGGGTTGTATGGGCACCCCTCTCTAGGGGGGCGGGGTGTCGTACCAACCCCCCAATTTTCCGCGATGTGATGACTGACTCTGGTGGAGAGGAAATTAATGCAGAAGGGCAGTAGGTGTCAACACTGCATTCATGGAAGCAAACTTAGGACTCTGAATACCAACTTGGTGGATGCATGAAAAAACATCAAACAGAAAACAAGCGGTACTTGAGAAACCTATCATGAAGGCTCTTGCTTATTAGCATAGGTGGAAAATAGACAACCAAAGATAGACCACACCTAAGCCTTGTTAAACACAAACATTGTTTAGTATCTGTTCTCAGAACTGAGCCTGAGAATTTACGATTTTCTTAGTGCATTTTTGAACAAATGAACGAAACGAAGTGCTCGAATTAACAACTCCTGACGGTAAGTCATTTCAGAGGCTTACAATACTCTAAGTGGAGAAATTCCGAAACTCAGCTGATCTAGTTTCCTCCCTTAGGACATGAGATGGAGAAGTAACACCACAAATATGAGCTCAAGATGAATGTCATAACTGCTGACGAACCATAATAGTCATGACAATGAAAGAGAGAAAAAGTAGCGAACCTTGTTGGAAAACGATACGAACGATGTGGTACGCAACGGAATGGGAACAGGTTCATTTCAAAGACAGACTCTTCACTTACATCCGAGAATGGCCCGGTGAATGAGTCCACAGCTGCACGACTCATTCACCTCGCAATAACGTACCACGTTCTCCGTTCAAAAGTTCACGGGAACGGGACTAGAGATTAGCGATAGTCATATGCTGTCTCCATACTCCGATCGGACTCTCAACGCACAGCACTCCATCAATACCAAGGTCCCGGTTACACAATGCGTATTCAGAGGGTAGAACATAACCAAAAGTAGAAAGGCGCGAACAAGTAGCGCATCCGATTGTGATAAAGCGTGAGGCTGCCCGCGCAGCAGCGTGGGTGACATATGCAGACTGCAATGTGGAATTACTACCCTCCACCCTCGTCTTCGCAGATGCAAGGACCAGGATTTGTGTGAACAATGTGCCTGGAAAAGGTCACAAGGAAGCGGTTGAACACGGCAATAAACTGTTCCGATTTGGATACCTGTATAAACAGTTGTGCATTTAGCTTCCATATCTACAGTAGCGCTCAAAAATATCCGGTCAATGCTTTTTGGCCCATAGCTTTTTTCTCACCGAAGGGATTCCTCTCAAATTCTAGTATGTTATACCTACCACCAGTCGGATCGCCCAGCTGTCGCCGGGCGCTCCTCCTTCTGTGACATGGCCCGGCTTCGCCGGGTGGGCGCGGATTTGCTGCGTGCTAAGTTACGGATGGTTGAACAGCCACACTGTTCACTGTGAAATCGGATATTCTTAGTCTTGAGCTCTATCTGCGCTTAATCGCCATGAGGATAATTCATTCTGGCTGGTTTTAATCTCAATATTGACTGGGAGATCGGAATTGCGGAAAATATCACCTCTGCCAAATTCTTAGAATTTTTCAGCTGCTGTGCCCTGAAGCAACACGTAACCAAACCGACTAGAGGTGACTCCATTCTGGATATTATACTATCTAATGGATCCATTGCGAGTAAAACTTCAGTGCTGTCTCCCTTCTCGTCTTCAGACCACAGCGTTGTTTCCTTTATGTTGCAAACAACTGTCCCTTGCTTAGTGGGCATTCCATTACCTGATTTCAAGAGAGCTAACTATATGAGGACTGGTCAGCTGCTGATTGGTGGGGCATCTTCGAAGGTTTTCTTTCCACTGATGATTTGTGTGAAAGGTTTTCAATGTAATTCACTCGGGACTTGTCATCTATGTTCGTTTTCGCTCCTCCTCTGGACCAGCTGAACGCTAACATTTCCAGCCTTATCTCCCAGAATGTTCGCATGTTCAGTGAGCTTTGTGATCCTTTGTCAAAATTGGAGTACAAGAGTATATGTTCCGAGTTAGACCGTCAGTAAAAAGGTTCTTAGATAATAGAAAAAAACGTGCAGCATCATCTTGCAACAATAAAGCCATGTTCTCGCTGATTAATAGAAGATTGAAAGCCTCCCCCAAATGACCCCTGCTGCAAGAGTCATTTAGTCAGTACTTGACAGATTGCGATAAAGCCAAGCTTCAGCCCTGCATCAGTTACACAGCGTACGAGGAAACAACTCACAATCGAGAGCAAGATACCTTGGATTACAAGAGTTGGGTGTATCCTAGACCGGAATTCGCTATTCATCCGGAAGAGGTCTTAAGAACACTGAAATCACTCAAGAACTCATCGTCAGCAACGTTTGATGGTATACCTCAGATTGTCTACAAGAAATGTGGACTTGTTTCATGTGGACCACTATCGATGATACCCAACATTTCATTACTATTCGGAGAAGTCCCGCTGTTGTGGGAGAAAGCTATAGTCACTGCTATTTCGAAGACCAAATATGCTTCTATGCTCTCTAAATTCAGGCCTATTAGTATTCTACCTACACCTCTCAAAGTGATGGAGAAGCTCATAAGAGATAATCTTGAGAAATGGTTTAGCGAACATCATATCGTACCAGCTGAACAGCACGGTTTCATCACGCAGCTTGCGGACTGTGTGTCGATTGGTACCTTGCAATTAATGATGGAAATTTTGTCGAAGTGGTCTACTTTGAGCTCTCGGAAACTTTTGATAAAGTCAATTATGAAATGCTTCCTTTCAAAACTCTATTTTGGTTATCAGTGAAACACTACCGACATGGATTCGCATATACCTGAGCAATACAGAAATGTGGGTGAAAGTTGAAAACTCTTTTTTTAAGTGCTACGTGTGCACAAGTGATGTCCCGCGAGGTGGTGTATTATCACCTCTTTTGTTCTTGGCATACACGTACGATCTGCCGCCTTCTAACTCACTAAACTCACTCAAAACTCATTTGTCTATGAAACGAATATGAAATTACGCCGACGACATTAATACGGATTTACGCCGACGACATTAAAGTTTGTGGGATTTATACTCGCGAGAACCAGTCCAGAGTCACGCATGCGCTCACCCAGTCCATCCATTCGGATTCGGAATATGAATTCCATGATAATGCACTTTCCACCCTTGACGAGGCGCGAGATCTGGATTTATCATAATAAAAAACCTTGATGTCCGCTCTTCAAGGTTGGTTGAGCCATCCTTGCAGTACACATCTATGCCATTCGTTACGATTTCTATTTGTTGCCTCTCTGCCCATATAGTTTCTTAAAAGGGTCACTCCACCTGGCTGAGGGTCTTCCTTGCGGCATTTTTACACCACGGGGATACCAGTTAATTACGCGGTATGTCCATTGGTTATCGTCAAGACGAGCTACGCGTCCAACCCATCTCTTTTTAGAGTCATAAATGGTTTCGATAACATCTTTTACACCTGTCCGTCTTCGGATTTCACGAGCAGGGATCTTGTGCATTAACGTTATTCGACACATTGCTCGCTCCATTGCCCTTTGCGTAGCAGCTAGTCTTCTCTCCTCATCTTTGATTGTGCTCCGTGTTTCACTTCCATATACCAGTGCAGGTAGCACATGGTGTTGAACACCTGAGATCTTATTTGAGTTTCAATCTGTCTGGTGAAAACATCTTTTGTTAAATGTGGCCCATTCCGCCTTTCGACGCCGGCTGATTTCTGTAAGATCATTATCCATCGTTATTGCTTGGCCAAGATAGGTGTACGATGAGACTTCTTCAATGACTGATCCTTTCATGCATAAACAATAGTCGTTGGTGTAGTTGTTTTTCATCCATTTGGTTTTTCCTGGATGTATTACCAGTTCAATGGATTGGGAGGATTCTCTCAAAATATTCAGGGAGCTTTCGAGTGCACTCGGTTCGCTTCCAATCAAGACTATGTCGTCTGCAAACATAAGTATCGAAGTCTTTCGCCGTCTATTACACAGCTGTACTTCATTTGCTTTCATCCCCTCGTTGTCGCATGCAAGCGCCCTCGACGTCTCAGATTCCCTTGCGATCTCCGCGGCGTTCAGGTTTCGCAACCTGCCGAGATCGCAAGGGAATCTGAGACGTCGAGGGCGCTTGCATGGGACACGAGGGGATGAAAGCAAATGAAGTACAGCTGTGTAAAATTTGAAGCAACGCTAGTGTTTAACACGTTCACAGAGCTAATGAGGCGATGCAAGAAAGTTTAAACTGTGAAAGCTACATCACCCTGTTTTTTGACTCCCAAGAAGATGTTCCTTCCCTAGTGGCACTTGCAAAGAAGGCTGAATACCAAGAACATATGGGTGGACGTCTTTTCCTTGGAAGGCTTTCTTCACAGAATTCACCAGTTTCCCTTAAGTCACACGATCTAAATTGTGCTAAATTGAATTCGAAATGCTCACCGACGAATATCACCTGTCAAATCGTTCCTATCAGAAAGAATGTCTTCCGTATCAATGTTGTCTATGTAGATATCGACCACCTGTTTAGTTGCGCGATTATAACGTTCTGAAAAAAGCCAAAATGGGGCTGACCCGTGAGCAATTAGATTTTTATTCCATCCGGAATTTTGTGTGATGGATAATGAATTCTGGTAGCGCGTTTCATAATTGATAATTTCATGATCTGTTCGATGGCATGACTATTTCACACCCCGATTTGACTTCTGTGAATTTTCAGACCGCCGAAATGGAGTGCTGGGTCAACAAAGCAATTCCGACACCCTCTCTCTAAGCGCATATTCAGAAGGTGCTAAAGAAAGAATCCTAGCAGAAGCTATGTTGAGAAATGTACCAAGGAAGAGTGTCTCATAGGAATTGCTAAAAAGAGATTAATGCTCGGATGCTGATCAAGAATATGCAGATTGAAAGTGCTACGGGGACCTCCCAGACGAGATCTGGGTGGTTAAAGTTTGCGAAAAGCCACTTTTGGCTTGTAAGCGCTGCTGATCGATGTGCTGGCAGTGCCACCGTGGCGTCGTGGTAATGGTCTCGCTTTCAAGTCGAAGGCATGCGGGTTTGCATCTGGTTGGCGCGAAAATTTTTGCTTCGCTCCGTATAAGAGCTTCAACTCTGATTTTCGGAAATCTTCCGAAGTTACGGCCAGGCAGGGCTAGTAGATGAAATACATCAAAAGTACGACACACTTGATCTAGTATGGATTTGGTCATATCTGCCCTATCTGAACATATTACCCATCCGACAATTCAAAGTTTTGCCCAGAATCGGCCAGACGAGCGTTTTTTCGCCGAGGAAGCGATATTCGTGTTCAGGGGGTCGAAATCTACCATGAACGAATTTTTAAAACTTTGAATTGTCGAATGGGTAACCTTTTCAGAGAGAGCAGATATGACCAAATCCATACTAGATCGAATATGTCGCATGCTTGATGTACTTGATCTACTGCCCTGCTGGGCCGTAAATTCTAAAGAATTTCGAAAATTAGAGTTGAAGCTCTTAAGGCAGCGAAGTAAAAATTTTCGCGCCAACCGGATGCAAACCCATTTGCGTTTGACTAGAAAGCGAGACCATTGCCACGAGGCCACGGCAGCACTGCCGGGGCATCGATCAGTAGCGCTTACGAGCCAGAACCCAAACTTTAACCACCTAGATCCCGTCTGAGAGGTCCCCGTAGCACTTTTAATCTGCATATTCGTAATCAGCATTCGAGGCTCTATCGATGACCCTAGGTCTCCAATTAAAGCTCCATGGGAACTTCAAACCATTCCCTCGTCAGAAGATAACCTACAGCAGTGGAGGGAGACTAATGGAATCGACCATGTCCTGGTCAGAAGGTCTTCTCTCAAAACCGTCGAGGATATCAAGGTTCTGCCTGGGGAAGAGCTGGGCTCTCAGCACAGGCCTCTCCTGGCAGACATCGCCACAGACCTTCCCCAAGAAGACAAGGGTGAGAGCAGAGCGAAGAATTCGGTGGTGAAAAATGCGCAAGGTAGAAAAGGACAGCCTCGGCCGAAGAATCCTGGAGGTTGGGCTCCCAGACCCACATGGGCCAGCCGGACACCTGGACCTACGCAGCAGAGGTCATCCTAGTGTGAGTTCTGGGAGAGACGCGAGGTGGTATCAGAGAAGACAAGGAAGCCTGGTTCTGGAACGAGGAAGTCCAGAGGATCGTCAAGCAGAAGAAGGAAGGATATAAACATTGGCAAAGGACAAGGAGCCCAGAAGACTTCGCTGCCTTCAAGCGCACCCCCGCTCGCTAAGACAGCCGTTGCTATGGCTAAGACTACGGGAAATGGACGCCCTGTGCGAGAAGTTGGAAGGCCGAGGAGGGGCAAGTTCTTTTCCGCCCGGCTGAAGCCCAGCAACGCGCCGCTGAGGACAACAGGGTCGCAAGGACTGTGAAGAGCAGCAACGGGGCCCATTCCTAGGAAACCAGCCAAAGTCAGAAGGAGGCGGGAAGAGTACTTCGAGGGACTTCCGAACAAAGAATTGCCCAGCAAGGGTAGCCCACAGATTGAGGCGACGACAGGTTCTTTCACTCCCTGGACGGAGAGTGAAGTCCGCCGAGAGGTGGAGAATGAAGCTTGGGAAAGCAATGGGTCCAGGGGGGTACCGATAGAGGCATGGAAGGCCCTTGGAGAGCATGGTGTGAGTTGGCTCACACACTTCCTAAACAACGTAACGGCTGTAGGAAGGTTGGCGGGCGGGTGGAGGAGCAGCACACCCCATCTTCAAACAGAAAGGGGACGCGACGGAGTGCTCCAACTACCGCGGCATCAAGTTTACTCCCCATGTCATGAAGCTGTACCAGCGCCTGGTCAACACAAGGCTGGAGAACTTGCCCCTATCTCGCAGGAACAGTTCGGCTTCATGCCTGAATGGTCCACCATCGATGCCAACAGTTCGACTTCATGCCTGGATGGTCCACCACTGATGCCATCTTCATCGTTAGACAGGTGTTGGAGAGCTACCGAGACAAGCGGCGACCTTGCTACCTAGCCTTCCCGGAACTTGAGAAGGTCTGGCCGTTCTCAGCGCACTCCAGAGTACAGGCTTCGACCGCCTGCTGCAGCCTGTACTCTGGAGTGTGCTGAGAAC